TCTACGTGGATGAGGCTGCAGCCCGGCAGGGCCGACTGGGGCAGGGCGGGCACCAGGATCTGCTCCTGCCACTGCGTCCGCCTCCAGGCCTTGACTCCGGCACCCTCCACATCTGCGATGGCCCGCACGTCATAGATCCAGCGCTTGGCCTTATAGGACACTTTCTAGGGAAGGGCCGGCCTGTGAGCCGGGGCAGGCCAGTGACCAACCCTCCACCCTCCCATGGGGACCCTGACCTGCAGCAGACTGGCCACCACCGGGCCGGTGTCCTTGCCGGACTGGTTATCGATGTCGGCCTGCAGCCGCAGCACCTGCCCCACCACATAGCCGCGGAGGTCCGTGCTGGCGGTGAGCACCACGCTGCCCGTCTTCACCAGCTTGTAGGAGAACTTCTTGGTGGTGGAGGCCACATTGGGTTGCTTGGGGGGAGAGAGAGGGGGGAGAGCGTTGGTGGCGTGGGCAGGCGGGATCCCCGTGGACCCAGGGTGCCACCAGCCCACCCTCACCTCGATGTCCGGGATGCTGTTCAGGTTCAGGGGGCTCAGGATGTAGAACACACAGCTGCACTGGTGATCCTTGGAAAAACGCGGCGTGTCGATGGTGGCCCGCACCTGGTACACGATCTTCCCAAAGGGGCCCTCGAAAGACGTGGGTGCCGTGGCTGGAGAGAGAGCACAGACTGGCACCCAACTGGCCCCCCCTCTCCTCTCCCCACCCACTGTCACCACCAGGCCTGGCCAGGCGGGGCGCTCACCAGGAAGCAGGAACTGGAAGGGGAAGCTGTGCTCTCCAGTAGGCAGGCTCCCTGCGGAGACAGCAGGGAGGTGTGGGGCCGGGCCCTCCAGAGCCCCAGGTGACACCACAGGGCCCAGGAGAGAAGCAGGCGCCACAGCCAAGCAGCTTGCACTGCTCTGGCTGCTGGGGTGCCCGGCCCCCGTGCCCTGCACCCAGCAGCACAGGGCCAAGGCCTGGGCAGAGGATGGGGCCGAGAGCTTGGCTTAAACTACAGGGGCTCAGAGCTGTCCCGGAGGCTGGAGCCTCCCACATCCAGGAGAAGCTGCCCCATCAGCAGCCCAGCCCTAAACAGCGAGGCCCAGAGCCCGCCAGGGAGGGAGACCCGTCAGGGTGCACAGCCCTGCGGGAAGTGGGCCTGTACGGGGTTCCCAGAGGCAGACGGAAAGGGGGGTGGACAGGCGGGCGCACCTTTGTCAGCCAGCGACAGAGCACTGTTGACGTAGTCCTCCTCCGTCACCCACGCTGTGTCGTTGGCCTTGGTGGAGACCCTGCAGGAGCCTGTGCAGCTCACCCGAATCGCTGCAAGAAGGGGGACGGGGTGAGCCCAGCCGCCGCCGGCCTGGCCCCTCCCCGCCCCCAGCACAGGCATTCAAGCGGGGCTGGCAGCGCGCCCCCCCACCCCCTGAGTTGGGGCCTGAGAAGCCAGCAAAGGTTTGCTGCCTTTTAGAAGACAGCTCCTGCCCCTGCTCCTGCCCCTGCCCCTGCCCCAGCTGGGGGTGCTCACAGGGCGCCAGGGTGGTGATGCACAAGGGACACCTGTGCTGCTGCCCCCAGGGTCACCCAGAGGACATGCTGGGCCCACCAGCCTGTGGACACCCAGCTCCCAGAGGGGATGCGTGGGGCATGAATGCGGAACAGAGGCCCGTGGGGCTGGTGACCGCTGACCCGGCCTTCATGCTCTCACAGGCGAGTCAGTTAGACAGGGAAGCACCCGGCGGCTGGCCTCACACTGCAGGAATGTGGTCAGACCCGCCTGGGCAGAAAGGCACACAATGGCGGGCGGGGCGGCCCTGACTTCCTGGGCCAGCGCTGCCCAGCAGACTGACTTTCTGCATCCACAGCGGCCGGTCCCCTCCCCTACTCCCCAGCGGAAGCACCCGGACCAGGAACCCGTGGCAGCCACTGTTCCGTGGTGAGGACCTCGGACGTCTCAGCCCAGCACCTGTGCTCTGAGCCCGAGAGGGGCAGAAGCTGACCGGCAGGTGGCCCTGCAGCCCCACCCTCCTCTCACGCAGGGCTGAGTCAAGATCAAAGACCCCGGCATCTCCGCGCAGTCCCTCTCCCTTCCCTGGCTCCATGTCAGGTGAGGGGAAGGTGACGCAGAGTCTGACACCTGACTGACAGAGCCTGCCCGGTGTGCCCGGGGCCCGGGCCAGGGGTCAGCCAGGCCAGCCATGTCCACGTATCCCCAGGCTGGCCCGCCTGCTGACAGACTTCCTATTGGTCACCCTCAGCACACAGCTCCTTCGGGACCCTGGCTCTCCCCCCCGCCCCGCCCATCGGCACTGCCAGCGACCAGCCTTCGGCCTCTGTGCCGTCCCGTCTCCCCTCTGGGACCTCAGCCTGCTTTCTAATCCCCGCTCCGTCAGCCGAGCCCTCCTGGGTCCAGGCCTGGAAGTGACCCCACCCTGAAATCTGGGGCAGCAGGGCTCCTGCCGACCCTCACAGGAGCGGCCAGGCAGGCATGAGCAGGCAGAGGACAGGGTGGCGGACCCAGGGAAAAGCCGCCCAGCTTGAACCCTCCATGGACAGGGCACGGCCCCACTTGGTCCCGCTGCCATGGGGATGCTGGGGTCAACAGAGTATGCCCGAGGGATGCAGTGGTCCCCAGATGGCCCCGGTGCCCACCGGGCACTGCTAAGTGACCCCAGTGGATGGTGCACGGAGCTGAAGGATCGATCTGCCCACCTCTGTCCAAATCCCGACCCACGACGGTAGCTAACACCACTTAGCTCAGGGGTGACTTGTTACTTAGGGGTTTACATAGCAGCAGATGAGAGGCACAGGCATCCACTCACGGTTGTAACCTTCAGTTGGCAACTGTGTTGAGGTGGGAAACAGACACCTTGGAGTAACCAGATGTAGGCTGATAGGGGCCTGGAGAGGTGCCAGGCAAGATGGCACGGACCAGGGACCCAGCAGCTCTCAGAATCTCACACTATCTACCCAGGAGCCCCAAGCACCACAGCTCGTAATGCCAACAATCGAGGCGCAGTCCCCGGGCAAAGTGGGTGAGACCTCCCTCCCGTCCCCCCCCCCTTGGCCTGCACCCCAGAGTTCAGGTGAAGAGCTGTGGGGGCACCTCACCCCAGAAAAAGAACCGGTATCAAAGCGAACCTTGGTTACCCGCGAGGGCCCAAGCGCTGCGGCCTGCCCAATACCTAGCAGAGCCCCTTCTGCACACACGGGCGCCCCTTCGGGACCCTGACCGCATGAGCGAGGCCAGTCGCTGTTCCGGAGGAAACCATCCCGTTCCTCCACCCTCTTCTCCCAGAGGATGGAGCGGAGGGATGGACACACACAGCGCGCCGTCCTGCCCCCTGGAGGAGAGCACGGGCATCGCACCAGCAGCGCCCACTGCGCAGACGCAGGCGGGCCGGTGTGCTCCCAGCACTGACAGGGCTGCGCCGTGCAGGTGTGGACCGCTCAGCTGTACCAGTGCTTGGATGTGTACCGGACGGCGGCACTGAGCTGACGGGTACCCCTGTTTGGATGTTTGGGGCTGCTCCAGTTCTCTAAGGAAAATCATCACGGGCCCCGCTGGGTGGCTCAGTGGTTGAGTGTCAACCCATGAACCAGGAGGTCAGGGTTCAATTCCTGGTCAGGGCACATGCCTGGGTTGTGGGCTCGATCCCCAGTGAGGGGCGTGCAGGAGGCAGCCGATCAATGGTTCTATCATCACTGATGTTTCTATCTCTCTCTTCCTCTCCTTTCCTCTCTGAAATCAATAAAAATATATTAGCCTTGCCCTACCTGTTTGGCTCAGTGGATAGAGGGGCGGCCTGCGAACTGAAAGGTCCCAGGTTCAATTCCGGTCAAGGGCACATGCCCGGGGTTGTGGGCCCCTCCCCAGCGGGGGACTTGCAGGAGGCAACCGATCAGTGATTCTCTCTCATAATGGATCTTTCTATCTCTCCCTCTTCCTTCCTCTCTGAAAGCAATAAAAATATATCAAATATATATATTTTAAAAATCATCTTTTCTTTCCCTGCCTCTAGCCCATGAGCCACTTCTCTCAGTCCTGGTTCCAGGTCTGTCACACGAGGATGACAAGCGCCCACCTCCCAGGGCTGCTATGAGAATTTATAGAGTCGGACCATTGGAAGTGGGGAGGGTGGTGTCAGGCCCGTGACAAGAGCTCAGTGAGCCGGTGGAGCTGGGGGCTGTCCTTCTCCATGTCCCTTCCCGGGGATGGAGGTCTCCCATTGCATCACTGGCTGGCAGCAAGGGTTCAACAAGTATCATATGAATAAAAGAAGGAAAAAGAGCCCGACCTTCCCTTCCCCGACCCAGGCCGGGCTGGGAGGAAGCCCAGCGCAGCTACAGCGCTCACACTCCCTCTGCTCCCAGGGTCACCTGACCAAACCCACCTGCTCCCCTGCCCACCCCCCACCATTCCCTCTCCCACTCTGAGGCTCGCACTTTTACAGGTGGGACCACCAGCGGGGCTCCCCGGCCTTCTGTGGCAGCTGTCTGCTCACACACAGCCCACCTGCCACACGAAGGCCAGGGGGGCCTGTCCAGGCCAGACCAGTCCCCCACAGCTCAGGCCATCCCTCCACTGTGGTCACCAACAGCCTGCTCCCTGGGCCCCGGCTACAGGAGGGTGACAGGTGGACAGGCCAGGTGATGAGCGTGGCGCAGGGGCTCGGTTGCTCCAGTTGCGAGGCTGCCCCTCCTGCCTGGGGCCCCACACAGCACCCTCCCTCCCGCCAGGAAGCTGGCCCCATGGCACTTCTCGTCTCTGGCTTGTGTCCCAGGGAAGAGCCGCATGGTCCCTACTGTGCCCCTGCCTCACACACTCCCACCCAAACCCCAAACTCCCACTGGGGAGACGAGAAAGGAGGTGATGGTCTCATGGGGAGGAAACTCCACAGGCTGAACCCCTAGCGAGAGGTGAGCAGGCTACTTATACCAGCTTCTCAGACCCCCGCGGCCTCTCACTGTGGCGTGAGGGGGCAGGTGAGGCCTGTCCAGGACCGAGGCATTGGCTGCCCAGAGGGGCTCTCAGTCTTCAGTGGGGACCAGAAGTGCTGAGCTCTCAGCCACCCAGGGGTCTGGCTGAGCACCCCAAGGTGGAGGAGCACCCCAGCAGGGACACATCGCACAACCTTGTGCTCAGAGCCAGGGATCCCCACCCCCACCCTGAGGGTCGAGCCCTGAGAACCCACCCAGGTCCCTGTGGACACCTCGGACAGGAGAGGCCGGCACCTGTGGAGGGTGCTGGGGAGGGCAGCTGCGGCAACCTGATCCCAAAGACCCAGGTGTGTGCACCAGCAGGGGGACAGGCCAGGAGGGCTCAGGTTCACCTCCCAGATGCCAGTGGGGCTGGGGGCCTGGGCACCCAGGGGTGAGCAAGACACCCCTGTCCACAAGTACAAGCTGAGACTGGATGTAAGCAGGTGCCCGGGTGGCCCGTGGGTCCAGCTGGGAACCCGCAGACTCGGCAGTGGGACTGTCTGCGCCAGGAGCCGGGGGTGTGGGAGAGAAAGCCCAGTCTCCCAGTAAGGGCCCAGCAGGTGCGGGGCACAGTGGCCCCTGGAGCCCTGGCAGGAAGGGTTGGAGGCTTGCCTGTGTCCAGGTCCCAGTGGGCTCTGCCAAAGTGGACAGGCTCCCAGCCTTCACCCGGGCGCAGAGGACAGGAAGGGCAGAAGCGGAAGACTGGGCCACCCAGGCCTCCCTGCTCTGCCCCGAACGCCGCCCGCCCCCCACCCAACACTCCCAGCACCCGGGGCACCCGAGTGGCGCCCATACGGGCCCCGGGCCGTGCTAGGGGAGAAGGAAGTGGCCCAGACTCAGCGACATGGGCAGCGCTTCCGGGAGTCCCGGCCCAGCCCCAGGAGCCACCGCAGCCACCTGAACTCCCCCCCCCCGGCCCGCCCCAAG